GTGTGCAGGAGGCAGCTGATCAATGTTTCTCTCTCATCGATGTTTCTAACTCTCTATCCCTCTCCCTTCCTCTCTGTAAAAAATCAATAAAATATATTTTAAAAAAACTAGGAGAAAAGGAAATTCAACATGTGTACAGAGGGAAAACAAAGTAACTGCGTCCCTTTCTAAACTATACTAATAAAAGGGTAATATGCTAATTAGACTGGATAGACTGGACGTCTTCCAGACGTCATTATGGACGTCCTTCCTGACAAAGCCGGGATCCAGGTAGCACTGCCTGGGGTCCCGAGTGCCTGCCTGGGCAAAGCCCGTCATTATGGACGTCCTTCCTGACAAAGCCGGGATCCGGGCAGCACTGCTTGGGGTCCCGAGTGCCTGCCTGGGCAAAGCTGCCCGGGATCCTGGGTGCCTGTGGCCGGCTCGGGCGAAGCCAGCTTGGGTCCCGGTTGCCTGCGGCCGGTCGGAGGAGGGAAGCCTGGGTCCCAGGTGCGGGCACCAATGCAGAGTGGTTAGGGGCGATCAGGCAGGCAGGCAGAGGCAGTTAGGGGCGATGAGGCAGGCAGGCAGGCAAGTGTTTAGGGGCAATGAGGCAGGCAGGTGAGTGTTTAGGGGCAATGAGGCAGGCAGGCGAGTGTTTAGGGGCGATCAGGCAGGCAGGCAGAGGCAGTTAGAGGCGATAAGGCAGGTGAGTGTTTAGGGGCGATCAGGCAGGCAGGCAAGCAGTTAGGGGCATCAGGCAGGCAGGCAGAGTGGTTAGGGGCAATCAGGCGAGCAGTTAGCAGCCGGTGGTCCCGGATTGCAAGAGGGATGTCCCCCGAGGGTCCCGGATTGCGAGAGGGTGCAGGCCAGGCTCAGGGACACACACACACACACACACACACACACACACACACACTGTGCATGAATTTTGTGCACCGAGCCTCTAGTAATTACATATTCCTCTAGGAAGTTTATTTCTTCTTCTGAGCAAAAAGCCCTATAATCTGTTAATGAGATTGAGAGTGAGATGTTGTCTGTACTTTACCTTGAAATACGTTCAGAAACAGATGGATAGATGATACATAGATATGTGATGTTGATATATATATTTATATATACATATCAAAATGTTAATGATTGAATCTCAGTGGTGGGTATATGGGTATTTACCGTACATTTCTTCTAACTTTTCTGCATGTTTGAAAAATGTTAGAGAAAAATTATTTTTAATGTTTTTAGAGGCAATGAGAAAAATAATAGCAGAATTTTAGTTTACAAGCAGAATTCACTAAGCAATTGTTTTTATTTTCTATCTGCATTTTAATTAATTTATATACTGACCACCTGTAAGATACTGTCATTAACAAGGTAGCATGCACTTGAAATTTATTGGATTTTCATATCTTTTTCTCTCCCTTTCTCTCTCTCTCTTCTCTCTCCCCGTGTATGTGTGTATGTGTGTAGCTATTTTGTTTTCCTTTATCTTACAAAAGACAGTCGTTTCCTCACCATAAATATCATGAACAAGACCACTTCTGAAGTGTGGTTGATAGACGGCCTAAGTCCTTGGGATCCACCTGTACTTATCCAGAAGCGAATACATGGGGTCCTTTACTACGTTGAACACAGAGATGATGAACTATACATTCTCACTAATGTTGGCGAGCCTACAGAATTCAAGGTGATACTCTGTTTCTTAGCTCCATTTGGCTGTTAAGAAGTGTCACACTTCCATCAGCAACAGTTCTTGCTCTAAGAGTTCATTGTTTCATAGGCTTTTGGTAAAGTGTAGAAATTGATGCTACTATCCTGTTTAGTCAGTCCCATTTGAATTGTTCCTAAAAAAGGATAGTAAATGAAGCATACTCTATCCTGATTATATCAATTATCAAAGGCAAACCTAGTAGCTTAAAAGAACAAAGTTTTATAAATTCATGATTTTGTGAGTTAGCAATTTGGATTGTTCTCAGCTAAGCTGTTCTGTCAGAGGCAGCGAGGCTCACTGGTACTTCCACAGTCAGCTGGATGTCAGTACCCTCACTCAAGTGTCCATTGGTTGGCTATCAGCTAAGCACCAGGCCTCATTAAGTGGTGATGGTCACACTTCAGCCCTGATGCAGTTAGCTCTCCATAAAACAGTGAAGAATAGTATGTCTAATTTCAGTGGTTTCATCTATGGCTTTGGATTTTGTAGATACCATGTTCTGTTACCTAGATCTCTTCTAATTTTGTTCCACACAGCTAATGAGAACAGCAGCTGATACACCTGCTATCATGAATTGGGACTTATTTTTCACAATGAAGAGAAATACCAAAGTCGTAGACTTGGACATGTTTAAGGATCACTGTGTTCTCTTCCTGAAGCACAGCAATCTGCTTTATGTTAATGTGATTGGTCTGGCTGATGACTCAGTTCGGTCTCTAAAGGTATGTTTAATTATCAAAAGACAGTAGTGTTAATCAAAATACATGCAGTTTAGCTTCACCAGAACATCAAATTTTTAATAATAGCAATGTACTTTTTCTTAAAAGAATTAATTTCAGTGACATTTAGCATACTAGGTCTTTGTCAAATTTAGGAGGTAGGTCTCTTTCTATATATCACATATTTCTCCAGCTTTAAATATAGTAATAGCTCAGGCCAACTGGGCAGCTAGTGCCTAACCACTGCCTGCTGCTCCATCCCACACACCCAGTGGGATAGTGCCCACAGTGTTTGTGCCACTGTGTGCTTGCATCTGCATCATCTCTCTGCCATGTCTCTCACCAGGGCATGAGGAAACGTGAACTTTGGTTTCTTTCAAGAAGGGGGTGGCAGTGGTCTCCACTACAGCAGCTGTGATGCTGGCACATGTCCCTGGCAGGCTGACCCACTGGTATTGCCTGTGGCTGCCAGGAAAGATAATCTGCCTCCACAAGTGAACTTACAATGGCACCCTTATTGCCCACTTTTAAAGCAGCATTAACGTGAGTTAAGATACCAGACACTGAAGGGAAGAGGAGAGGCCTGCATTTTGCTTATACGGAAGGAATTGTGGAGCCAGTTGACCAGCAAGCATAGACCACTTATACCTCCCTAACTGCAGTGTTGTCACAATTTCTGTTAAAATGCAATTCCTGGAAATTCACCAGGTGTTTATTGAACTTCTATGCGCAAAGTGCTGTATGGGGCACTCTGGAGTGGAAAGACAGCAGAACAAAATATCTGGCCTTAAGGAGAATAGAGTTAATCATGAGCTTCAACCAACACAAAGAACAGGTAGAAGGTGGTTTAAATAAGTGGTGTCAAGAATGAAGGAGATATAAAGTCACTATTAGGATACACAGTTATAGTTGTTGTAGGCAAGATCCAAAGAGGATAGACAGGAATTTGATGGGTAGGACGGGAAATGGTATTCTAGGATGAGGACATCTATCACATGAAGCACTAAGCGGGAGTAGCTCAGAAAATGTTCAGGAAACTGCTAGTAATTCTGTTTTATTATATAATAGATTTCTGGGGGATGAAGCTATGATTTGATGTTCTTTGATTGTCACAGTAATGAATTTATGCATAAATTATGAAGAGGGAGAACATGTGAAATTTGGGGGTAGGAGAGTGATTTGAGGAGTGAGCTATACTTCATCAGATTATCTGGCAGCCACGTTAGGACATACTGAAGCAGCAGGAGATAAAGGGCAGGGAGATTAGTTTTGAGATTGTTATAGTAATATAAAATAAGAAATTACCAGGGCCTAAAACAGCCAGTTTCCTAGCAGCCTCATAAAATCAGATTATCAAATGTAATGTCTGGTGTCTTAGAGGACTATATAGTTGTCCTAAAACACAAATGGTGATTTTACTTTAGCAAATTTTTATTGGTTTCATCTACTAGATTCAAAGTGTGTCCTCTTACTTGCTAATTGATGCCTAATTCAGATATCTTTAACTGGGAAACTTATGGCAGTCTATGTGAATACAGATGGGAGAAAATACATAATTTCTAGCAGTGCATTTATTACACAATTCTGTTAAGAAAATTAGGAATATCTTGAGTTTACTCTGTTATAATAAGATTTGACTTTCACGTAAATATGACCTTTTATAGTTTTTGTAAGTATTTCTATTTTCCATGGTTTTACCTTCCATTAGAATAAGCATCATGTCTTTAGTTTATTCTATATCCTCTACTTTATTCCCTAACCCTCCCAACCTGTAGGACCTAGTATGCCATGTGTAATGTTCTGAGTCATTATCACATGGAATCAGATACTATATTATATGCCAGGTGCTACTTAAAGAGAATTTCGCAGATCAGAGCCTTTTCACAAACTGCATTACACTGATTGATATGCATGGGCAGCACCATATACAAAGGACAAAAATCTTTGGGCCAGTTTTCTTTCAGCATTTAAGATAGAATTATTCTTGGATGCTGTCCACTAATACATATGGTTGATACTGCGGGCTTATCCAAATGGGAAAGGTGGCTTAAGATATTCTTGAGATCATTAATACCTTCCTTCTCCATCAGCTGGACAGACTTTAAAAAGTCTATAGCCTTGGAACAGTTGTTATTATAATTAAAACTCTAACTTTGATCCATTAGTTTAAGAAATACACCCAAAGGACTTTTTGCTTTATTGGAACCACTTGGTGTAAAACTAGAACAGCTAAATACATGGATCACACAGAAACTTCTAAAGTCACCAAAGGGCAGAGCGACGTGTGCCTCTGGGCCGAGGACCCTTGTCCCCTCAGCCTGAGGCCTGGTTGCAAGGTTAGCAGTGGTGCTTGTTTGTTTCCTTCCCACTAAGGTCTCGGTTTGCTCACTGCATTCATGCGACCAGATTTCCCAACTTCCATGATTACACTTTTCTTTCTGGTTATGGCTTGCATTTAGATATATTGTCCTTGAAAATAATCCTCAACCTGAGCAGAATGATCGGGAACTCTTGTAAAGAAATATTGTAAATGTATGTCCTTATTAGTTTCAGGAAAATAGATTCTTTGGATTAATTACAAGAAATTTGCTCGGTAAACATAAGCTCTTTGGCCATAGTTTCTACAAGTTAAATGGTGCACTCTCTATGCACACATCCCCCACTTACCCTTTCTGAATAGTGCCCACCAGTGACTTTGCTGTGCCAAGACCTCTGATTTTCTAAGGAATTTGCTCTTTCTACAATTACTCAGGAAAAGAAAGGCAATTTTCTTTTAATGCTCTGACTCCTGGTACCATTTCTAAGACACTGTCAGCCTGCTTACCAGAGTTCTTTAAAAGGTGTAAGAAGGATGTTAGTGGAAGGCTTGAAGCAGGACCCTGCTGCTCTGAGAGAATAAATTTTGATTCCTTTCCTTTTTTTCTTAAAGTTAAGAATCTTAATCATAATAGCTCTGAGTCTTTCAGAGTGAATGTGCACGAAATGTTTTGTTCTGCACAATGGTTAGCCTAGGAGCTAAAGTTAGAAACAAATTGTAAATGCTTTAGTGCTGCTGCGCCATTTTGTAGCCCTGGAATAATAACTGTCATCACTGTGGCTATCTAGGCAGCAGAGTGTGGGCTGGTGGGTAAATTATTAAAAATACATGTCTGAGATTTCATGTTCTATGAGGACAGAGATCTTGAAGATGTTGCTTGGTTCTGAATTACTATTTGATTTGCTCTTATTAATCACTTTTGCTGTTACTTTATTGCCCAAGTTTATGCCCCAAAATAAACTTTTTTATTACAGAGTTCATGTAAATCCAGAATCATGATAAACCATTTTCTTATCATTTTTCCTTATTTTATTGATCATTGGTATAGAGTTGTGTTTGTTTTTTACTTGAAATGTATTCTGTTGTGCTAAAGTAATCCTTGAATGAAGCATTATGTGATAATGGATAGAAGTAAAACTGATGTTCACATTATCTTGTTTGAAGCAGACCCAGAAATTTAATTAATATACCTAGTGTCCAGATAAAGAGTAAAAATAACTTTTATTTCTTTAGCTCCCTCCTTGGGCCTGTGGATTCATAATGGATACAAATTCAGACCCAAAGAACTGTCCCTTTCAGCTTTGCTCTCCAATACGTCCCCCAAAATATTACACATACAAGTTTGCAGAAGGCAAACTGTTTGAGGAAACTGGACATGAAGACCCAATCACAAAGACTAGTCGTGTTTTACGTCTAGAAGCCAAAAGCAAGGTAAGTCTTTGTAATCTCCACTGTCAGCCCCCATTTACTGCAAGCTTACTATTTGCCAAGTATTGTGCAGTTGCTGGGTATACAGTTTTGTAAAGTGGATCTCAGACCTCAGTAAGACCCAAATGAGTTTAGTGGGTAAATGGATTTTTCTTTAATTTTAAGACTCATATTTACTTTAACATGGATTAGAAATTTTATGACTAGCACATCAAGCCCTTCATTTCAACGAATGCAAAAAATAGAATGTATGAAGTTTAAGTGACTACTTTTCAGTCATTCCTGTACCTCTTAGGAAAAAAATCACTATTAACCATTTAGTATATCACCTTCCAGATTTCCTTTTTATTTATTTATTTTTTTGCCAACAAAATATGTATGTTTAGGCTTTGTTTTGTTTTACAAGTATGGCATTTATACCAGCCTGTCAAAATGTTGTAATTATTATACCCCTAATGGAAGCTAAGTTCTTGGAGAGCCAAGGGACTCTTGAAGAAGGGAGCACCTGCTGAATGGGCTGCTCTAGCTCTGCAGGCATTGTGCACTGCTGATGGGCTCTGGGCCTAGCCCATCGCAGGGCTTGCTCCCATCCTGACCTCTTCCTTTTCCTAACTTTCCAGCCAGCAAGTATTCCTCAGCTTGTTTACTGAAGTTGAGGAGTAATCTATAGCATTTTATAAGAATGAGTCATACTGAGAAGTGAAAATTCAGTTCCACTATCGTAACAAATTGCATCTAGAATAATGAGAGGAAGTGCCCCAAAGTGAAGTTTTCTAATGAGAAAAAAAATAGGGAGAGTGGCTTGGTTATATTCTTTTCCTTACTTAAACTAGTGCTATTTCATTAGTTTCTGTAGGCAGGGTGAGAGCCAACTTTCTCCCACCTTTGTACTGTGAAAGAAAGATAAGAAATCATCCAAATTATCTTCATTTCATCTGTCCAGAGAGTGCTTAGTTTTAATCAATTGGTATTGATTAATGTGAACTAAATTGGGGAATAGTTACTTGTCCTAAAAGTAATTTCTGTGTTAAAATTCACAAGCCCTGACCGGTTTGGCTCAGTGGATAGAGCATCATCAGTCTGAGGACTGAAGGGTCCCGGGTTCAATTCTGGTCAAGGGCACGTACCTCATTTGCAAGTTTGATCCCTGGCCCTAGTCGGGGCGCTCGATGTACACATCCATGTTTCTCTCTGTGTCCTCCTCCCTTCCACTATCTCTAAAAATCAATGGAAAAATATCCTTGGGTGAGGATTAACAAACCAAAAACATATATATATCTTAAAATTTTTAAAATAAAAATTTTATTTGTGTTTGAGAATTCTGTCTCTAAAGGATAGAAAATTGAGCTGTTAAAACTTCTTTAGTTTGTCTATTTGTAAATATTTAAAGATGAGTAGTGCCAGTATGTAGGCCTAGGTACAGGAAGAATGCTATGCTAGTGTGTCTAATCTTAATAGGTACTTGGGGGAAAAATTTACAGTAGTGCTGGGTAGTGAAGAACTCTTTAGAATCACTTTATTATCAGGAAAAGCCATTTAATAAAGTATATTCAAGTCATAGTCTTACTGCTCTTTTTTAGTTAATACTATGGGTCAGCCAAGTAGCTGAAAGTAAGTGTTGAGATAGAGTTTAGAGACCATAACTCTTCGTCTTAATTAAAGTTTCTGCTCAACGTCAATAAGCAGGACATAAAATAGGGGATAAAACTGTTTGAAAATACTCTTGTATACATGGATAATAAATCTTCATTTCCAGGATGGAAGGTCAGTGCCAATGACTATCTTCCACAAAACGGATTCTGAGGACTTGCAGAAAAAACCTCTCCTGGTCCATGTGTATGGAGCTTACGGCATGGACTTGAAAATGAATTTCAGGCCTGAAAGGAGGGCGTTGGTGGACGATGGATGGATATTAGCATATTGCCATGTGCGGTGAGTCTGCATATTTATCCTGGCATATGAGTGCGCGAGCACTGTGACAGATGCCCAAAATAACAGTACATCACGAGCAAAACTTTGTTTTTTCATTTGTATTGAATTTATGTATTCCTACACCTATGCTGGTGGAACTTGATTTGGTAACATTAGTTGATCCAAAAAGCAAAAGGGTACATTTTTTAGGATATTGTACCAGACTTTTAGGATTTTTAGAATACCATCAGCCTCTTTACTTATTTGGTAACATTATTATTTCCATTTAATTCCCCCAAGTTTAGGTTTTTCTAAAATAGCCTCTTAAGCTGAACTCCTTTTTTCCACTTTAATTTCCATTTTATTTTAGCTGTTTTCAAGACAAATATTGTGTTTCTGCTTAAAATCCTTTACTACCTCCCCATCTCCATAATAAAGTCCAAATTTCTCAGTATAGTATTTAACATCCTGATGATCTCTCTTATCTCTGTAAGGGCGTCTGTTATCACTCCCCACACATGTCCTGTGCTCCCGCCATACACTCCTCCACAGCCAGCCTTGCTTGTCCTGCCAGGCGACAAGCTGCTTCCCCTCGGTGCCCTGGTTCCGCGGTGTCCTGATGTCTCCCTTTCTTTGCCCTCTGGGAACTTATATTCTTCCTTCAAGACTCAGCTTATGTATTATCTCCATGTTAAGCATTTGTGTTCCTGACACATGGATGTTCTTTCTTCTGCTTCTGTGGCACCTTAAATACATGTGTGTAATAGCAGCAACCAGATTTCTTGGTAGCTGTTTTCTTTCCCCACAAAATGAAGATCTTCTCCGGGGCAGGGGATTTTTGCTTATTTATGTTCTAAGGCCTGCATTTAGCACAATGTCTGGTACATAGTAGGCAGGCACTCGAACATGTCTGTTGATTGTCTACTTCAGGGGTTAGCAAACTTTTTCTCTAAAGAGCTAAATAGTAAACATTGTAGGCTTTGCGGCCACATGTGGCTCTCCTGCATATTCCTAGTTGGGTTTTTTCCTCCCAACCTTTGAAAATGTGAAAACACCTCTTAGCTCGAGGGCCATACAAAAACAGGCCTCCGGGTAGATTTGGCCCATAAGATAGTTTGCTGACCCCGACCTATATTATTAATATTTTTTTTTCTCCACTAAAACCTTTTTGCCCTTTAATTTCAGGGGTGGTGGTGAGTTAGGCCTTCAGTGGCACGCTGATGGCCGTCTAACTAAAAAACTCAATGGCCTTGCTGACTTAGAGGCTTGCATTAAGACGCTTCATGACCAAGGCTTTTCTCAGCCAAGTCTAACAACCCTGACTGCTTTCAGTGCTGGAGGGGTGCTTGTGGGAGCGTTGTGTAACTCTAATCCAGAGCTCCTGAGAGCTGTGACTATGGAGGTGAGTACATGCTGTCTCTGATTGTTTACAGAATGGGGGACCATGAAGCCATAGGCTTCCCTGAGAAAAAATTCTGGTTTACCATAGCATATGAGTGTAACAAAGCTTTTCAATTTTAAACAAAGAATTGTAGCTCTGAGTGAACTTCTAAAGTTATTTTAATCCAACTACTCACCCTTTACTTTTCCCTGACAGTGTTCTTTATTAAGTTTTAAGGATTTTCACTGAAGGATATTAATAGCTATCCCTTTTTTTTTTTTTTTTTTGTAAGAACATTTAGAATTGGTGGAAGAGACAAAGCATATAAGACTCATCAGTTCTGGGAAGTAAGGCAGAGTGCACTGGGACTCTGAAGTGCACCAAGTGTTTTACTCTATTGCCCATCAACCTTTTAGTCCTGGATTTAGGGGCTCTCTGGTTTTAGATACTCTGTTTTTAATGGTCTTTAGGGGTAGTTTTTCTATACTTCAAATTGAAATACCTTATTCTGAAAATGCTTGATAGTCTTTTCCTTATGTCCAAAATTATGAAGTTATAGCAGCTCATTTCTCCTGTTTCTTGGTTAGATGCTCTAGAAAATAAAATTATTGGGATGAGCAGAGTAAATTATTTTTAAGTTTTTTATTTTGAGGGTGTGGGGTGTACGCTGTGGGTTTGTATTAAGTAAATAAGTGTTAAATAATTCTGAACTGTACATCTATTTTTAAAATAGAAATACTACGTATAGGGGAAGAAAATCCTATCACAAAGATAATAATGGAAAAATTATTTACACTATAAAGAAAATTCAACCTTTGACTTTTAGAAATTACTTGGACTTTTACAAATTAGGAAGGAAATCAGAAATGTATGTGTAAGGATTTTTAGCCCACATTGCTTATAATAGTGAAGAATTGAAATCTTAAATTCTTCCAACAATACAGTATATATGTATCCAACAATACTAGTAGTATCTGTATGAGTCAGTTCTTAATCAGAAGCACCAGAACCATAGTTCTTCATTAGAAGCACTAGTTCTTAATTAGAAACACATAACTACTTTAAGCAGAAAAGGGATTTATTGAAGTGTATTGGGTGAGGGTGGGTATAGAACCAGTCTTAGAGGCTGCACAACCAGAAGCATGTCCAAAATATACCATTAACCTATCCCATGAAGCAATCACTACCACCACAACTGGGCAGACGTCACTTCACACTGCTAGTGTTGCTCTTAGAAACTTGATATAGCTGTGGCAGTTTTGCCAGAATAAATTCTCTGTGGTCCCTACTTCTTTGAGTCACTAACTTCCCATTCAGAATTTGGAGCACATTGTGTCTGATTGGTAGACTGAAGTCATGTGGCTACTCCTGCGCTACAGGGAAAGCTGGGAAAGGAACTACCTAGCATTTAGTACCTCTGTCTCACAAGGTTTGGGATACTCTAACTGCAGAAAAGGAGTTCAGGTGCTAGGCAGCCAAATAGAATTCCATTTGCCCACTATACGTGGTAAGTGTTAATGCAAGAGAAAGCTGAAAAGCATGTTAACAAGACCATAAGGTTAAGTGAAAAAAGCTACCATTTTATTAAATGTTTTAACACTGTGTAAGCCAATGAGTGATTTTCTCTTCTTTCAAAATGGATATTTTCCAGATTTTCTTCAATTTGCATTTATCTTTTATTTTTATGTAAAATGTCCAACTGGTGAAGGAAAATTTATTCATGTATTGCTAAGTTTTTATTTTTTATTTTTTATTTTTTATTGTGGCAAAATAACAAAATTTACCTCTTCACCATTTGTTTTGTTAATCCCGAAGATATTTTTTCCCATTGATTTTCAGAGAGAGTGGAAGGGAAGGGGAGAGAGAAAAACATTGAGGTGAGAGAGACACATTGATTGGTTTCCTACCACACCCACCCCAACTGGGGCAGGGATCAAGCCTGCAACCGAGGTACATGCCCTTGACCGAATCAAACCTGTGATGCTCTAACCACTGAGCAATTGGCTAGGGCACCTCTTCACCATTTTTAAGCGTTACAGTTAAGCATTACAGTTAAGTAGTATTGAGTACATTCACACTATTGTGCAACCAATTTCCCAGAACTCTTCATCATGCAAAATTGAAATTCTATACCCATTAAGTAGCAACTCTTCAGTTCCCTCTTTCCCGAGCCCCTGGGAACCACCATTTTACTCTGTCTCTGTGATTTTGACTAAGGTACCTCCTAGAAATGGGGTCTTTTTATAACTGGTTTATTTCACTTAGATAATGTCCTCAAGATCCATTTGTGTTGTGGCATGTGTCAGAATTTCCTTCTTTAATAGCTAGCTATCCTAATGGATGTCAAGTGGTAACATTTATTCTTTTACATAAAAGTGTGTGTGTAGA